GCCTGTATCCGGAACCTGTACACTCAGCTGCTTGCGGTGATGCAGAAGTGCCTCTACACTCGCGTGAAGCTTTGCGCTGACCCCCCAAATTTGTCATCCCGAGTCCTTTTCACAATCTCCCCCCCCCCCGACATCCCAAATATCGTGACCATACGTCGAGCGGTTAAGATTTGTGCCCAACTGTTGACGGATGCACGGACAGACGAGACGCTCAAGCGATTCTACAAGCTCCATCTGACCATGTCAGATGAGCTAAAAATACACTAAAAACAAACAACAACGAAACATCAACAAACAAATTACCACACAAACCAGCAATCAAACACAAAATGAGCAACTAAATGAATAAATATACGAATAAACGTACAAAAAAGAGACAAGAACAAACATGAATGAGCGTTTGCCAATTAAACAAAGAAACAACCAGATAAACAAAGACAACAAACTATAGCTGGTTGACTGACCTGAGCTCTCCAGCAACCATGATGCCGACGCGGCTGCACAAAGCGTCTGCTTCCTCCATCGAGTGTGTCGTCAAGATGGCGCCACGGTCGCCGGTAAAGCTAGCGCTGATCGTGTCCCACAGAAAACGCTTCGACTGCGGATCCATGCCGGTCGACGGTTCGTCTAGCAGCACGACCTGTGGTGCCCCCAACATGCTGATCGCAAAACTCAGCTGAAACGGTGAAAATCAAAATACTTACCAACCAACAGACATTTGTTGCTGCAAAGCTGCTGCATTCAGCTGCGCAATGTGCAACATTGCCCGATGGGCGGGTTGTCACCGATAAAATTTCTAAAACAAGTGAACGTAACTAGTAGTGTCAGTTGGCATTGCGTGGGACTGACCGCTGGAATACCTTTCGTTTTGTCCCACCCGACAGCACGTCTGATCGCTTGTTCTCGTGTTCCCTGATTTGCAAAGCATCCATTAAGCTGAAAGAGAGGGACATCGAGAATGCACGTCAAGATAATACCTCTAATAGATTCATTTGCCAATGACTACTCTCTACAGCTATGAATAACTACACTGCAAAAATACGATGCTTCTTGAGAAAGATGATGCATGTGAGGAGTACGCATACTAGTATACTATGAGTGTTAACATTAGTCACATTTAACTAGTAGTGTAAGCGTACTAGTTAGTTGTGTGTGTAATCTGGGTTGGCTGGATTCCGCGCATCGCAGCATAGCAGATCAGGTGTTCTCTCAGGGTAATGTTAGGCCAGATCGCGTCGTGCTGGGGGCAGTAACCCATCGCCTCGTAGGCCTCAGACATACACGAGACTACGTTGTAACCACCCACGGTCACCTAGAACAGGAATGAAACACACCTGTACCAATCGTCAACTACAGTAGTAACGAAGATATTACCTGTGCCAATCACCAACTACAGAATTAACGAAGTTTACCTGTACCAATTGCCAACTACAGCAGTGATAAAGTTTACCTGTTCCACCCTAATCAGGGCTTAACTATAGTTCTGGTCATCTGTAATGAAGAACGTTACATTAGGAATGTTGCTGTAGAGAACTAGAATACCGTATAGTCGGTAGTAGATAGATGAGCAAAAACCCAACTCACATAGAACCAGAATTTTGTAGTAGTCCTACGAGTACGCGCACACAAGCCCCACTAATTTCTATCTCCTTTGACAATTTCATTTTCACCATGCACCTCCAGTTACACTAAATCTCTCGAATAATACATGTAATAGGGGGATAAATTACAGTACCGATCACTTGCATCAGTTACCTCATTTAACTGTGCAACTAATCATCTATTCCAGTTAATTATTGACCTCACTACACCATTTTTCACCTATAGTTGTCATAGCAGTTTGAGGCATACAATGACTCACCAATGTACAAGCCACTGCCACAATGGCATTCTCTTTGTTATAACCCTCATCCATCTCATGTGCCAAAACCAGTCAAATACGAAACAAAACATGGGTTCATCTTCCCATTCCTATCCAACCATCAGGATTTAACGTGGTATAGATTTCTGGTTCCGCGATGCTAATGGTTACTCACCGTTCCAGCTGTTGGTGCCGTCTCAGAGGTTATCACACTCAGAGTGGTCGTCTTTCCTGCACCGTTTGGTCCCAGCAGTCCCAGCACCTCTCCCGTCTCCACAGCAAGAGAAAGGTTCCGCACCACCACCTAGAAATAAAACACAATACCCACATATACGCATACACATAGACACACACTCATACACATACACATACATAGACACACATTCATACACATACATACACACACACTCATACACATACATACATACACACTCATATAATACATACACATAGACACACATACACTGAAACCATCTTGTTCACTGCAACTTGTGTGCAGCTGCTGTTCAATGCACAGTTACTCACAGAATTGTTGTTTGCGAGTTTATACTCGTTTCTTTCTAATGTTGTTGATCGTTTATGGATGCTGAATTGTTCCTCGTTGATTCGTACTCTGTGTTAGTGAGATGGTTTATTGCTAATGTAGCAATTGTGTGTGAATACATAATCATTTAAGCAACAAGTTAAGTAGCAGCATTGTTCTTGACCATTTATGTATTTATGTAAACAATATTATATTAAAGTTGCCTTCATTATCACTGCTCGCAGTTTTTGCATGTGTGGTAGTCTGTTCATTACAAATAATAATCGATAAATTATAAATATCCTATTCAACTATTATAATTACCTATAATAGCATCTATCAAAATAAGTTGAAAAGCCTAAAAAATAATCATTGCTGGAGCAATACGCGACGGCCTGATATTTACGAAACTGGATTTTACTATTTTTAGTGAATACACACGCACACGCACGCACCCACACATGCACGCGTGCACACACGCACGCACACACAATTATGTACCTTGATTTCATTTCCTTTCTCGAAAAGCCCTCCAGTGGAAAACGCCTTCTGCATATTCTGGACCATGACAACAGGCTGCAAAGACAAGTGGAATTATGACAAATAGCCATATACATGTATATGACAGTTAACGCAAGCACGCATGCATGCACGCACGCACATATTTACTTATTTATTTATTTATATACATATAGGTAGTTAGTAAAAGGCTAGATATGGTGATATGGTACTGTTGCTGTATCTAAACTTAGTTATTCAAAGAAATGTTTAATGCGATTTTATTTCTAAAGTATCTAGACGAATAACATCGGCAAAAAAACCTGTGCACAGAATAAGGTTTAGAAAAAAAGGAATGCATATTTGGTACACAACAGAAGCTTTTTAACATAACTAAAGGTTAAAAGCTACATAAAACACGAACGATGAATGCTTTACAGGGACAGACATTTGACTATGATTTCTAGGTATTTGTAATGCAGAAATGTGGTACCGTGGAAACGGTGGCACATACGACCGTTTAGGGACGAACGGCGGATGGCGTACGACATATTTAGAAGGTGCATATCAATTAACGTCACGGACGGCATAGCTGATAGAATCATTAATAGAGGTACGGCCGGTTCTCACGGCCGGACGACGGGTGTAACTGCCTCGGCCCGACCCTAGAACAGAGCGAAAGTTGTCAACCAGGCACTCAGTAAGCGACACTTTATGACAGTCCGACAACTGGTCAAAGAGAGCATTGAACCCCAACAATGGAACGTTCGTCGCGACCGGTCCTTGTGATCACTAGCCGGTGCCACAAATCAGGAAATCTGTAGGGCACGACGAACGCGTGCACGGTTTAAAAGAAAGAGGTTTTGGAAGAAACGGGAGAGACCCGGACCATCACTGGGTATATGTATACGCTGTTGCTATTCGTGTTCTAGAATAAACCTATAGTTGTTTACCGTTTATACAACTCTTACGTCTACTGTCTACGAGCGTACATTCAACGCACAATTAGGCGCCGTTTTGACCAAAAGAACTTCGGTCTCCCTTTGCAACACAACGCCAAATGCTACCACTGCCGATCACGTCGCCGGAAGAACTTCACTGTCAAACACTCACTTGTCGGTAAGTGGAACGTTATTGTCGGTTTTACATTGTATCACATTGTGTGCGGTGTTACATCGTCTCTCACACCGCCCTTATCAACAAGTTACCATTTACCATTTAACAATTTTCACCTTTGATCCGTTTTCCCCGACCACAAGACCAATGCTACGATTGAATCTCTAACTGCGGGGGTTACGGAAGGGCCTTAAACCTCAATGGAAAGTGTTAGCGGAACGATTTACGAGGTTTAAGGTCGCCGGGAAGTCGGCAGAGTATTACTAAGTTTATGTGGGAATTAGCTTTTGTGGGGCCCAAGTTCAGAGTGGAATAATCAATTCAACGGTGGGCACATTTAGAGCTAAATCTGACGAAAACAGAATTCAGAAATTTAGAAATCAGAACCTTGGGCGGGTAGCGAGCGTCCGGATGCACCCGCCGTTTTTAATAGGATCACTCAGACATTACGTGGGACCGTCTGTACGAAGCCTTACAAACACGCTATAAGGACCCAATGTCTGAACTTTCGGCTCAAAACGAGCTAAAACAATTTCACCAGGAGAGAGGAGTCTATTCGCGATTACGCAGACCGGTTACGACAGATAGCACACCTAGCAATCCCACGAGACCAGTTACAACACGAAATAACGCAGAAACGTTTAACAGAGATTTTTTCTGACGGGTTTGGGAGTATAGCAATACAAAAAAGTTTGTTGAAGCGGGGCCCACGCACACTACAGGAAGCACTCGAGTTGGCAGACAGGGAAGCGGTCGTAGAACAAGGAATCGCAATACGGTTGCGTAACAGGGAGGGGCAACGGTACAGGGATGATAACTATGGGGAACCTATGGAGGTAGATCTTGTTAGAAGCAAGCAAACGGCTAGAGACATGCATCACAGTGTAGGTGAAATGAGGCACTTGGTAGCAAGCATGCAAAACATATGCACGACACAAGAGCAGAAACAACGAAACATGCTGACCAACACGCGGACACAAACACAAACACAGACACGACGCAACGAGCCGCAGAATACTAACAGACCACGTAGACTGGCTAACGAATCGGACTATTACACACGTCCGCCACCGGCTAGGCAGGCCAATCGCTACGACGGAAGACCGCCGAATCAGATAAGGTTGTGTTTCCGTTGTGGCAGAGAGGGGCATTTCGCACGGGATTGTCGAGTGGTATTGCCGTCGGGAAACGCGCCGCGCCCGCTAGACCGCAACAGAAGGTAAGGGGGGGTCAGACACGGTCGCACACACGTCGTGTCGCGCCATGTTGCGATGTTCGGGTGGCGGGGCAAAAACTAATAGCTCTTGTTGATACAGGCGCTGAATGTTCGTTAATTCACGAGACGGCGTGGAGGGGGTTACCTAATCACGTAAGAGAAGCTGCCACGCTCGACAACGAGCAGTGTCCGCAATTACAGTCTGTCACGGGTGAACAGCTGCGGGTAACACGGGTCGCTAAGTTACCGGTCACGCTGGGTCGGGTAAAAACATCCCTCCGGTTTTGTGTGGTAGCAGCATTGCCAAAAGATATCATTTTGGGGGTAGACTTCCTTGCTAGGAATCGGGTGGGTATAGATTTTTCAAACTCAGTGTTAGCCATAGGGAATAGTATAGTACCCATGTATGAAGTGGGAGGACAAGGGAGGTCAGTACCTACGATGAAAGTAGCCTACGTGCAACGTTACAGACATCTCGCGCCAGGCCAAACAGCATGGTGCGAATGTCAGATTAATGGGGTATTGTCCGTCGGGACACGGGTCCAACTCCAAGCGCGGCCGAGAGAAGGTTATCAGCGGTTCACGGGATTGCAGATACTGACAAAAACATGCCGCGTAAACACTAATGGCACGATTAGCTGTCTCCTTAGGAATACAACACGCAAACACATTAATCTGCATCATAAAACCACATTAACGGTCGCACACGTGCGCGGCGGCGGCACACGACCCAGACGGGAGGTAGCACAGGGTACTACGCGACGCATCACTGCCTCAGGGGTGACACGGGGGCGGCTGTAGAACAAAGCAAGCACCAAATGGGTCTTTGCAGCAACGTCAGGCAGGCAGAACAATTACCAGATCGTGCACTCACCACACAAACAACAGTGGACTACGCCTCGTTAGTCGCCCATGTCACAAACAGACAGCACAGGGAACAATTACGGGACTTTTTGACGCAACATAAAACATCCTTTGCACACACAGACGAGGAACTCGGGTTCACAAATCTATGTGAAATGACAATCGAAACTGGAACCGCGAAGCCATTCAAAACAGCGCCTTACAGAATGGCAATACCCCAACAGGAAGAGGTGGAGCGACAGGTCAGGCACTTACTCAAAATGGGGCTAATTCAACCCTCCATCTCAGAGTGGAGCTCAGGGGTACTGCTGGTTTAAAAGAAAACAGGGGAGTGGAGAATGTGTATGGATTATAGACGGCTGACTTCAGTCATTCGAGCCGACGCATTCCCTCTATCCGTAATCGAAGACGTGATGCAAAACTTCGGGAAAGCGAAATTTTTCACCTGTCTAGATCTCCGAAGTGGTTATCACCAGATTCCTTTAGCAAAGAAAGATCAGCATAAGTCCGCCTTTGTAACTACAAATGGCCTCTGGTACAAGTGCGCGATGCCGTTTGGAGTCGCCAGTTGTCCGGGACAGTTTCAGAGAGTCATGAATCGAGTACTAGAAGGGTTACAACATAAGTACGCGATCGCGTATTTGGATGACATAATGATATACAGCGCCACTTTCGAAGAACATATGCAACATTTGCACGAAGTTTTCCGCCGCTGTCGAAACGCGAATCTTAGGTTCAAAGCAACTAAATGTAACTTCCTTAGTAAAAAAGTTCAATATCTGGGTTATATTATCAGCGCAGACGGTATCGCAACGAACCCAGAAAAAAACAAAGGCCATTCAAGCATTAGCAGCCCCAACAACAGCGAAAGGCGTTCGTCAATGGCTTGGTTTGCCAGGGTATTATAGAAAATTTGTTAAAGATTACGCTAAAATAGCAAGACCCCTCACGCAACTTACCCACAAAGGAACACCCTTTGTGTGGACTGAGGAAGCAGACCAGGCGTTCCGAGCACTGAAGGTAGCCCTCATTAACCCACCTATTCTAGCGCTGGCCGACCCGAGTCGACCGTATACACTCTATTGTGATGCCTCGGGGTATGTATTGGGCGCAGTGTTGACACAGACGGATGAGCAGGGCCGCGAGAGAGCCATTATGTATATTAGTAAGCAGTTCACTGACACTGAAACACGTTGGCCCATAATTGAGAAAGAATGTTGAGTGTGGGGCGACTGAAGCACTTTCTATACGGGGGGCAATGTCACGTCGTGACCGATCATCGGCCGTTAAAGTTCCTCCTAGAAGCCAAAACGTTACGAAATGCCAAGTTGCAACGCTGGGCATTGACGCTATCCCAGTTCAACCTGACACTGGCATACAAACCCGGAGCCACGAACACGCAAGCAGACGCGCTCAGCAGACTAATGCCTGAGGGACGACTCGCACTTTCACACGACGCCTCCACACAAACAGCACACACCCCACCACCTGCCGTCGCACACATTCAGGTCAGTCCAGTGACGCGGCACACCGCGGAGAAAGCGGCCATAAACTTGGACGGGTTTAGGGACATGCAAAACAGAGATCCATTTCTCTCACGCGTCAGGCAGGCGTTGGCAGCAGACAAGTGCACCTAACGCGATGCGCGGTTCGTTGCTGACTATTATATGGATGACGGATTAGTGTTCCACGTCAGTACAGACAAGCTTGAATGCGGGGCGCAACTAGAACTCCCACGCAGCCTAATTACCAAGGTTATGCCGCTGTTTCACGACCATGTCTACTCGGGGCACTTAGGCTTTTCAAAAACTCTTTCAAGGATTCAACAACGCTATAACTGGCCGCGCATGTTTTCCGACGTGTACGAATACGTCAAGTCATG